TGATAGCCCTCGTGTAGCTTTGCGCGAAATTCCAAAACAAACAAACTAAATATGATATTATAATTGAGAAAAACAAACCTAAAGATTTATTTTTCTATTTATGTTTTAATGTATAAATAGAATATTAATCTAGAATAATGAAATTAAGTAGCATATTTTCAAGACAAAATATAGAGCACAAGCACATTTTTTCTAAGTAGTTTAAATAGAATGTTTTATTAGATTAATTTGTATGATGCCCCCTTTAGCAAAATCACAAAATAAGCCATTTTTCTTACACAAGGGGATGTCATCATTTTCCTTAAAAACCTTCTGTTAAAAGACACTTTTTCTTGTTATTTTTCTGGGTTATAATCTAAGAAAAAAATTTTCTTAATTTTTTCTATTCTATAGCAGCCAGTGACAGTTGAACAGATAGGTGCCTCATTGAATATACTCAAGACAGAAATAGAAAAAGTTCAAGCTGTTCTAGCTTCTCTGGTACGAAACTGTGTTTAGATAATAATATAAAAATATAATTACTGAAACATTTTTTCCAGTTTATGCAAAATCAGCATTATAATTCAGAATTATAATTTTCTCATTTATTTAGGTTTATGTAAGGCAATATGTATAGCTTTTTATATTGAGCAGAAAACCTGTGATTGAAATATGTACAGGAAAAGTTTTTTTTAATCTGATGATTGTATACAGTGTGATAATGATGATTAAAATATAGTAACTGAGAAAAGCTCACAGCAGAAAGTTTGAGGAAACTTCACAGAAATTATAAGAAACATTTTGCTTTTAACTGATCCAATATCTATTTCTAGTAAAATAAGTATGCATTAATTTCAACTACGTAATATTTCATTGGTTTCAAACAACAAAGCCTGTTACTCTTGATTAATGGAGTATATATCATTTTCCTAATAGAAAAAAGAATACATAGCATTTCACGTTGGTACTGTTAGACTATAATCGTTTTTAATTTTTGACTATCAAAATTTACTTTTACCATAGGACTTTGTAACAGTATTAATAGGTATTAGATTCACCAGTTGTATACATCTGAGGTTTTAAAACTCATCTGTGTACTCAAATAATAAAAGTACAAACATATTATACAAGGAAATTTTATGTTTGCATTTAGTCAAGGGGAGAAACTCTACAAACAAAACTGCTTTGTCAAAAAGCAACTTTAGAAAGACAAGGATTTTCAGAAGATGGAACTGGTATGTAGAATCAGTGCAATTTAAAAAAAATTACATTTATATAGGAATTATTTATGGCAGTTGTTTTAACAATATTGTTATGTTATATTATACATTATTTATTGTAAGTTTTATGTTATTATACCATATATGATAATCTATCCAATATAACAATAAATATTTTTCGACTTATCTGTAACAAGTTTACTAGTGCAAAACTTGTGATTAATAGCTATAACAATGTATTTAAATCTACAATACCTACCCTTAATAATATAAATTGCTTACTTGCATAGGGTTAAAAGTGTGACTCATTGTGAAATATTTTTTGTCATAGATTTAGCACTATGTTTTCTACAAAAACATAATACTGTAAGCCTTCACCCTCCCATGTTTTGATAGAGATTCTGGAGAATATTGTCTAGCAATGTTCTTAGCACATGCTCAGTAACAGGCATTAATTTCAGGAAAGGAGAAGAATGTATGCATTTAGCATGTTCGAACTTTTTATGACCAAGTGATTTAACAAAATAAGTATTTTACTTATATATTTTGTCAATTCAAGCACAAGTTACAAGTCAACTTTTGACGATATTCCCTTGGTATTGATTTCTTTACTTTGATATGCTACTGCCATGCCAAGTTCTAGTTATTGCCTCAACAACTATAAAAGCGTTACTCATAAACATTACAGATTAAACAAATAAGTGTGACTGACATGTAAGGTAAACTTGTTACAACTGTGTTTTGGCTTATATTTATTTGATTTGTGGCACTACATTTTTAGAAGATCCCTATACTACACTATGATTTAAGTTTCCCAAACAGTTTCCAGGTATATTTACAATGGAAGTGGTTTCATCCTGCCTATCATAATATCAAGACCAAGCCATCAAAATATTGCTGTTAAATACAATTGACACTACAACCATCAACATCCTGACATTCTAGGCATTATATTATAAGATTAGTCCTGATTATATGATACAAGCTGTACATAGGTGGATAGCATACATCATACAATCTGTCACTGGTACACAATATTGTAACCTAAGCTAAACAATGTCTAGGTGACCAATGAGTAGACAAAATGACCTTCTTAAAGAAAGATTTTGCACAATATATTGCAATATAGTTATAAGTATTTGGAGAATATTGCAGTACAAAATTTCTGGCAATATACACTCCTGTGTCGTCTATATAATGCATAGTCCATGTTAAGTCATACTATAATTGCTTTAGATTGGATGCATTGTTTCTGAAGTTAATGTTTAGAATTATATTATTTAAAAAGTGTGTGTTTGGAATTTGATATTTTTGTTACATTGTTTATAGTAATACAATTTTGTAGAATTTGCATTAATATGTTGACAATGCAAATTAAAACTATTTAAAAATGAAATCACTATATGTGTACATATGTATACTGACCCATGAAGAAATTTCCAATTTGCAAAATTTATCAAATTAACTTAGCTGTATGTGTTTCTGCACTCAGTTCTTGTATTTAGTTACACAGAATTTAAAAAGAAAAATTATCGATTCTGCTCCACATTTTATCTAAACACACACACATACTAATTGTGGAATAACAAATCTTATACACCGATCTGTTATTACTCTCAAAGATTATATAACTCTTCTTGCTGGATAACATTTTGTGTCCTTAAAGTACATATAGCTAGGATGCTAAAAATTAATATAGCAAAGATGTTCATTTTCACAATAATTTATGCCACTTGTGCATTGGTTATGGATGAAAATATAAGGGCTAGCTGCAGAGTTTATTAACTAGCCTCAAACACTATGTGCCATGAGAGTAAACTTGTGCTCATGTATAAGTAAAATCTACATCAGCCAAGGTAAATATATATTATTTTAAAGAAATTATCACTGAAAGTAACTAATAAATATCCATATTTATCTGTAAAAATGTAATCAGTATTTGGGTAAATAATTATTGCATATCGTTTATCCATCTATATATATATATATATATATATATATATATATA